ACCAGAGCCAGACCCTGCACTGGTAGACATGATTCTTCTAATTGATTGTATTTTATCTTTCTTGTACATATTTAGTCTTTTGTTTTATAGCAAGTTGCATTTATACCTTTGCTAACATTTAGCTTTCTGATATAAGAAGTTCATTTCTGGTACTTCCCGCCCCCCCAAGACCATGAGTTGCCCCCCACAAGCGGCTCTCTGGCACGGCCATGGACCCAGAGGCACAGGGACCTAATTCGGAACCCAAGAGCTTTTGGCAGAAATGTGAATGGACTATGCATTAAGCTATGGTGCTGTGCCTCCCCCCCACCCCCGGGAGGGAAAGGGTGTTTGTCTCTTCTGCCTCCCCCCGCCCCTGTGGCACAGTGGTCACCACCTCAACACCTAGTGTACAGCCAGGTATGAGCTGGCAGTGATGGGGCAACTGCAGCCTAATGGGATGGGAAGCAGAACCTGCACGTCCTTCCTGCACCACCAAGACCACGAGTTGCGCCCCACGAGTGGCTCTCTGGCATGGCCATGGACCCAGAGGCACACAAACCAATCTCGGAACTATGCAGACTTTGGCAGAAATCCCTCCAGACTTAATAAGTAAAATATCAGAAATCCAAAATTCATCATATGCTCTTCATAACCAACAATAGAAAACAAATTATTTCATGATGTCTTTTCAGCAGGTCTGATTGTTGGGGAAAAATTCCAAATAATAGTGGTATATCTTCTGTTGAAATAAGGAATGTAATCAAAGTAGAGAGAGAGAGAGTCACGGTTCAGAGTCATGGTCCTCCCGTTGTTCATCGATTTGCTCGAGCAGGCCCAGTAATGTCTCCATTGGAGATTTTGTTGTTACTGTGTTTGCATATCGAATACAACACGGGTAGCTTGCCAGGCTCTGCCGTGAGGGCAAGATACTCTCGGTAGCTTGCCGGGCTCTCCGAGAGGGGCGGAGGAATCGAACTCAGGTCGGCCATGTTGGCTATGTGCAAGGCAAATGCCCTACCACTGTGCTATCACTCCAGCCCACTACTAGAGAGAGAGTTAAGTGGAAATTATCTGCCTCACAGGCAGGGGATGGGGTGTATTAGGGGGTATATTGAGATTCTTGGTGGTGGAAAATATGCACTGGTGAAGGGATGGGTGTTTGATCATTGTATGACCAAGACTAAACCTGAAAGCTTTTAACTGTTCTCACATTGCTTCAAAAAATAATTTTTTTTAAAAAAGTTCATTTCTGATAAGACTGCGTTCATACCAATTTTATAATAATAGATTCAAAGTTTCCATTACTCTAAATCTAAAAAAAAAGATTATTAAATCATCCCTTGTTTGTAAACACTGAGGGCCAATGCCATGGGTGAGAATAAGTTAAAGTACTAGAAACTGGTTAGATCCAATCCTGTGGGGAAAATGTTCCATGTACAATCTACATAATGTCATCGGGAACCCTAAACTGTTACTCAATTGGTGTTGGCAATGCACATTTTCAAGAAGTATCACCATACAAGGTAAAGGGCTGGAGCGATAGCACAGCGGTAGGGCATTTGCCTTGCATGCAGCCAACATGGCCGACCTGAGTTTGATTCCTCCGCCCCTCTCGGAGAGCCCAGCAAGCTACCAAGAGTATCTCGCCCGCACCGCAGAGCCTGGCAAGCTCCCCATGACGTATTCGATATGCCAGACACAGTAACAACAAAGTCTCCAATGGAGACGTTACTGGGCCCGCTCGAGCAAATCGATGAACAACGGGAGGGCCTTTATTTATTTATTTTATTTATCACCATACAAAAGGAAGCAATAAGAATAAAATACAGACTGATAATGATTGACTCAAAAAAAAGAGATACAGGACTAGTTCATGGAATCATCAGAACATTAAAAATCAACGATATGTGGAATGACACAAGGATAGGACCAGATATGCCTAATAGTCTAAATAACCTAGATGACCAGACACCAGAAGATAATGATATTAACATTTTAACTATTTTACCAGACATCCTGCTTTATACTCAAAGAAAAATGTGACTCCATTCCATCTGATTAAAAAAGATATTAGAGGAGAAAGGTTTTGTCTTTCTCTGGAATCTTCCTTAAGGAGACCCTTCCCATAATCCAGGACCTCTGTGCCATCTTTTCTTTTTCTTACCCCTGCTCTTATGCAAGACCTTTTCTGAATTCAGAAAAAAAAAACACCATATTCATTTTCATTATCAGAGTGCACTTAAGTTATTTTTCTATACAAGTTCCTTTTATATTATATTTCAAAGTAGATAAAATGTTTTGTGCATATTTCTCTAATTATAAACAACAATTAGTAGAACTGTTTCAACTAAAGTCTACTCAAAGATATGCCTCATAGACCTTAAGTGTCTTTAAAGCTTTAAAGCTTATTTCATACAGTCGAAATGACATTTGCACTTCTATGTTCATTGCTGCACTACTCACAATAGCAAAATCTGGAAAAAACCCAAGTGCCCGAGAACAGATGACTGGTTAAAGAAACTTTAGTACATCAACACAATGGAGTGCTATGTAGCTGTTACAAAAGATAGAGTCCTGAAATTTACACTCAAGTGGTACTACATGGAAAGTATCATGCTAAGTGAAATGAGTCAGAAAGAGAGGGACAGACATAAAAAGATTGCGTTCATCTGGGGAATATAAAGTTACAAAATGGAAGACTAAAGCCCACAAATGGCCAAGATAAGTACCAGGAGGTTCACTCCATGGCTTGGAGGCCACCCGCACATGTTGGGGGAGAAGGCAGCTCAGTTAGAGAGGGGAGCACCAAGTAAAGGGTGTTGGGAGGAGCCTCCCAGGATGAGAGATGCATGCTGAAAGTAGACTATAGACCGTACATGATTGCCACTCAATGCCTCTTTTGCAAACCACAGCACCCAAAAGGAGAGAGAGAACAAAATGGAATACCCTGCCACAGGATTAGGGTGGGATGGAGGGGGGTGGGAGAGATACTGGGAGCATTAGAAGTGGGGAATGGACACAGGTGGAGGGATGGATATTCAATCATTGTATACTGAAACCCACACACAAAAATTTGTAAGTCTACAACTGTACTTCATGGTGTTTCACTAATAAAAATTAAAAATAAATAAATAAATAAAGCTTACTATTTCATAAAAAAAAACCATGTACATGGATTAGTTAAATATCAACCTCTTTACTTATATGTAACCTAGTACTTATGTCATAATTCACAGATATATCTTGGCTAAGCATTTGTATTATGTTCTACAAATAATTCTTGTCTAAGATTATTATTTGCATGGGTAATATCATTAACAGTATTGTAAATCACAAAACCTCACTCAATTAACAGAAATTAAAAATCTAATTTTAACTATCTTTATCCAGAAATTAATAAAATGTTTAGCTATTTGAACAAACATTTTTTCTGCATCATTTCTATAATATTTCTGCATCAGTGTAATGGCTGACTCATTAATTCTATTTGTAAATTAAGATATTTAAGTAACACATAAATTAATACCTATGTATTAAATTAATAAATCTTCTTTCTTAGAGTAATACACCATATATTATATAGGACCTCATAGGAGAAAGACAAATGAACGAGTATACAGCACACCAATTACGTAGGAAGTTTCTTGAACACTTTATATATTATGTCACTTGCTACAACCATGTGAATATTATTCACTATACTGATGAAAAACTTGGCTTCAAAGAATTTTGTAACTTGTGCTGAGCTGACAAATTCCCAAATAATGGATATTACTTTAAACTCAGGTTATCTCACTCCAGTGTCTGTTCCCTTTCCAATATAGCACATAATTTGCTTCACCTACACATCAGTCTATATGACTTTTTCTAAATCCTTAGCTACAGTCCCCCAACAAAGTATCTCATTGCAATAACTTATTTACACTAAACTCGCTTTCACATCAGGTTTTCCTTCTCAGTTGGATATCCTTCTTCCTCCCTAACTAGGTAAATAATATTCTCCTTTCAAAAGTCATTTTCTAAATGAAGTCTCACTTCCCCACGGAACCAGCATACTCTCTCATTGTACATTGCACAACTTGGCTTCTATGAGTACAACTTAGTTTTGTACATGTCTTAAACGTTTTTTTAGTCAGTTATTTCCATTTCAGAATTCCATACCTTATATACTTTAATATCTTACTTTTCTTACATTCCTCAGCTTTCCTCAATGTTGCTATGGCATCTGTAGAAATGCTTCATTACTTTGAAAATGCGAAGCCTATGCTATGCTGATTTGTATTTTTCTTCATGAGTTATATCATTCAACTATTTTATATTTTATATCCATTAGACTAGTTATCAGTTATAACATGACACCATATATAGAAATTATACTAAAATGGAATTCAAGAATGTCAGATGGTATTAGATGCAATAAAATAGTTGTGTACTTTGGAGCTTTTTGTTTTGGGGCCATGCTTGGTTTTGGTTTGGTTTTCAGGTCTTACTCAAGAAAACATATGAAGTGCCAAGGATCAAACCCTGGTAAAGGTAAACACTTTAACTGTGTTACTATTTTTCTGTGCTGGAACAATAGCAGAGTGGGTAGGATGTTTGCTTTACCCTTTACCAACAGGGCCAACCTGGGTTCGATTCCTCCACCCCTCTCAGAGCGCCCGGCAAGCTACCAAGAGTATCTCACCCCCACAGCAAAGCCTGGCAAGCTTCCCATTACATATTCAATATGCCAAACACAGTAACAAGTGTCACAATGGACACTTAATGGGCCCACTCAAGCAAATCGATGAATAACGGGAGGGCAGTGCTACTATTTTTCCACACCTGAGTTGTATATTTTGGCAATCTTATTACAGCATGAATACATGTCAGTTTCTTTATCTATAAGAGTTTATTCTAGATTTAATCTAAACAAAATGATTACTTTATGTATTTTAATTGCTTCTAAAATGAACATTTATAATTGTGGCCATGCATATTTTCAGCTGATTATCCATGTTTTTTCTTTTTTTTTCCTTCAGGGGAGAGCACAAATGCAGTCCCCTATTACCACAAATTAAGCAATTAAGTTGCCCACACTTGGGAATATCTCAGGGGTCAGTACATCTGGAGGTCAAAGGATAAGCCTCGCCCAGGGAAAACCACCTTTGTGATTATGGTGTCTTCCCTGCAAGGTAAGTAATTATCCATATTTTTACTTCATCATCATTCACAACCCCCGCCTCTTTGGCATTTTCTACATCACTCATAAGTTTCTAGCAGATATAATATGGTAACTGTAGTGAATACAGCTTTTTGTCAAATTAGACTGATTTTCCCAAAGAAAAACCAACCATCCCACTAAAATATATTTAACTCATATGTTTCATATAGTCACTTAATCACTTAATCACTTAACTTCCCGTTAGTCGTCGATTTGCTCGAGCGGGCGCCAGTCACGTCTCCATTTGTCCCTGTCGCGTGCTAGTGTAGCCCAATGGCATCTGTTCGCTCCGGGAACATGAAGGGCCTCAAACCGATCGTTCATGATCTTGACGAAGAAGTCTGACCATCTGGTAGGTGGGCGGCCACGCGGTCTTTTGACATCCCGTGGAATCCAGTCGGTAACAGCTCTAGTCCAGCGGTCGTCTTTAAATCTCATTACATGACCAGCCCATCTGATTTTCGACGCCTTGGCAAATGAGACAGCGTCCCTGATTCTTAATCGTCGACGGATGTCAGAACTCCGGATTCTTTCTCTCATTTGAGTGAAACGTGATATTCCAAGCATAGCTCTTTCTATTCTTCTTTGGGAGACCTGAATAGCGTTCTCATCTTGTTTGCGTAGGGCCCAGGTCTCTGAGGCATATGTTAATGCAGGAAGAACAGTGGAATCAAAGAGATGTGCTTGGAGCCGGAGGTTCTTCGTCCTCTTAGCTATTTCTTCCACGTTCTTGAAGGCGTTCCAAGCCGCTCTCTTCCTCCTGCGCAGCTCGGGTGCCAGGTCATTTGTCATGTTGACCTCTCGACCTAGGTACACATAGCTGTTGCATTCGGAGATGGTCGTTCCCTTGAGAGCGAATGGGGCGTCAGGAACGAGACTGTTTCTCATAAACAGTTTCATATAGTGCCCTAGTGAAAATCATAGTATCATTTATTCTTAAACTCAATAAACATGTATTCATAATGCTTTATGAATGAATAAAATATATGCCCAATTAAGACTTGAGTCAAAGACAGTTCCATATTGCCAAATACTATCTTCCCTTATAGTGTACTTTTACTTATAACCCACACATAGTGGAAGCATGAGAAGAATTTTTATTTTTTTGCTTTTTGGATCACACTCGGCAATGCACAGGGGTTACTCCTGGCTCATGCACTCAGTAATTACCCCTGGCGGTGCCCGGGGGATCATATGGGATGCTGGGAATCAAACCCGGGTCGGCTGCGTGCAAGGCAAATGCCCTACCTGCTGTGCTATCACTCCAGCCCCATGAGAAGAATCTTTTCATATATAATGAAGATTTCAAATTTATTAATAAGTAGAAATATACAAACTTAATGTAAGGTCATGTAACACAGGTAAACCTCAAACTTATAGAAGTCAAAGCAATAACTAAGTTATTTAACATTTAAAATGTCAGATCATTCATTTCAAACCAACTTTTTAAAAATATTTGGTTTCTTTACATTCCATTCACTCTTCAAGTACCTAAGTAAATTCATAAAGATATTAATTTACGATATGTAAATTCATAAAGATATGAATTTACGATATAACTACTATGAATCAGCAAGCAATATATATCTCACTTTTAATTTTATTACATTGTAGAAAGCACATGAACTTAGTTTATATAAAATCCTATATAAAGGTAAAAACAGGAAGCTTAGAGTTGAATAATGAAGGGGAAGTAGAAAATTCATACAAAAATGTTTTTTAAAAAAAGGAAGTCAGAAAGAAAAGAGGGAAAACTACTAAGAATACAAAAGACACATTTATCTGAACAGGAAGAGAAAATCATGGCTGATGTACTTGGTTAAGTCATGTAAGAAATGATTTTAAAAGAGCTTGTAATACCTTTATTTACTACTCTGTTTGAAAGAAGTAATCAAAACTGTTGTGTTAACTGTATTCTTATTCTTTATAAGAGGGTAGATGATCTAAAATAGTAGATCCATTTTCCCAATTCAGTATTTACTTTATGTCATACACAATCAAGTGCAACCCACTAGTCTTATGTTTCTTTTGTATTTTCTTCTATGCCTTATCCAATACGGGCATATCTTGGTACAAATATACTCTGCAGCTGATAAATCATTTAATAATTTATAAATGCCCTAATGAGAAATCATTCTTTCTTTATAGTCTCAATTAACCTGACATTTTATTTTATTGAGTCAAACATGGTTGGAAAATCTTGATTACATAATGTTAAAAATGTATACATTAGAAAATATTGATGTCCTAGATAAGAATCCTTGCCTTTGCTACAGCTTTAACTCTTTGATCTTCCACACTTGAAAATTTTTTAGATAATCACTATTCTTAGCAATTGTTAATTTTGTTGTTGTTTGGGGGTCACACACTGTGGTGCTCAAGGCTTACTCCCAGTTCTGTGCTCAGGATTCACTCCTGGCAGGCTTGAGGTACCATATACAGTGCAAGGGATCAAACTCAGGTCAGCTGCATGAAAAGTAAGTGCCCTACCCATTTTATCGCTCTGGCTAGATAAGCACTCTTCTTAATTGAAGAGAAAAGGAAGCAAAAACTCTAAACCCACTGATATCAGAAAATAAGTGCTCAGAAGAATTGGCTTGCATAATTATTTTTTTAGAAAGAGGCAATGAGGAACCTGGAGTATCTTGGCTACGTGTTACTTCACTCAGTTGACTTGAAGGCATTGTTTGTTTCATCTCTCTCAAATGAATTTAATGATATGACAGTTCACTTTTTTTTAATGCAACATAAAAATCAAGCATTTTTTAGGTTATTTCCCATACCACATGGTGATTTCCTCCTTATTCTTTAAAAGCATCTTACCGTGTAATTTATAATATCATTTAATTTTATATAGCACAGTGGGTAGGGAGTTTGCCTTGCACACATCCGACCAAGGTCCAATTCCTCTGTCCCTCTCAGAGAGACCGGCAAGCTACTGAGAGTATCCCACCCGCACAGCAGAGCCTGGCAAGCTCCCTGTGGCATACTCCATATGCCAAAAACAGTAACAAGTCTCACAATGAAGACGTTACTGGTGCCCACTCGAGCAAATGAATGAACAATGGGATGGCAGTGCTACACTGCTATGAGGCTCAGAAAACCAAAGTGACTTATACAAGAACACCCAGATAGTGTCAGCAACATCTGGATTTAATTACTAGACTCATGCTTCGAGAATCTTTTCTGAACCAGCTATCTCGCCAATTGCCTCACTTGTTTATAGTGTGATGCTGGAGAAATGAAATTGTATCTTAGATTTACTCTAGGTCAGTTTGCTTAATAACAAGGAGAATTCTACCACAAGTGTGCCACCAATGCATTCCACTGGTCATTTCAGGAACCAAGTAAAAATGTCCCAGAGGCTCAATGTAAAATTTTGTCCTGATGGTCAAACACTTCCAAATGGACATTCATTGTTCTCAGAAGAGGAATATTTTAGTAAAACTAGTGTGTGTTCCAATGATAGATGCTTACCAGGACATAGTTATTTTCAAACAAGTTTTGTGGTTGTTGCTTAGTTTGATAAGAAATAGAGCCACCAACTTGTGGAAATCCAAGAAGCAGTAAACTAATAATCATTTTACTAATGCCCCTCTCTGCGACTATGATTATGTGAAGCAAATAAATCTGTGATATCTACCAAGTATACTTTTATCCATGGAAACATCCTACCAAATGATCTAAATAATTCAAAACTTCCTCTATGCACCTCTTCCAACTCTTTGTAAGCCACTCAACAATTTTCAAAAATAACTAAGAGAACTGTTTTAGGTGGGCTTTTGAAGATATTTTTAGCTAAAGTGGTAGAGGTTTAAAATATAAGTATGGGAGTGTCTTCCATTTAGAGAAATCACCTGCTCACATACTTCCCTGGAGAAGTGGAATGCTACGTGTGTTTTGTTCAGTACAACATGTGGACTGCATTAAGTCAGGTTATAGTGGGTCATGCCATGTGAAACAGCTGAGCCACATATAATCACAAGCAATGCAACTTGCTCAATGCAACATAAATTTAAACAGAAGTCAAGTTTTTCTCTTCGAAAAAGAGGGAACAGCTGCTGTAGATAACAAAATGCCCACACTACCCCACACTGAGAGAGGTTTGTGCATTGACATGATCTGAATTATATGTAGGTAGTTTGGTACATCTATATTTAGGGGCACCCTAAATATGATAAAGGGGTGTTTGGGTGCGTAAAATGCATTCTCTAAGTAGCACAAACTTCAGGTTTTTTAATAGCCCATTTTATGATTTTCTCATGATGAACAATAAGTGTTTTAAACCAAGGTCTTAAGAATTATATAGTAGTGTCAACCTTTGCTTTAGACAAGGCTTCTTAACCAATGGGCCAAATATTTAGCATTCTTATTTAGACTGAAGATAAAATGCTCTTCAAATGTAGACATTAAGAGGGCTCAAAACTAAGAAATCTGCACTGAGATGTGTTTAAACAAGTAGTTGAAAAGAGCAGAGCATTGGGTATTAAATAGCACAACAGTTAATTTCTAAGAGAAGTCAGTGTGTAGGATATCACATTATAGTCTTACAGATCCGACACCATTAAGAGCTTTGTTGAATTTGGGGCTTGTCTACTCTTCATCTTAAAAATTGGGTGTTCAAAGTTTGAATCATTTAAACTTTTGAAACCACTTCAACATTCATATTTAGCTGCCCAGTTAAGCTTTATAAGAACACTTTGAGTAGGAAGAGAACAAAGCTTTTCCAGATAACCTACCCAGCACTGGGCACTTCCACCACAATAGCAGAACACTTCTGCCCAAGCCACACTTCCACATATTTCTGCACAGCTATAATTAAACCATAACCAGCTTATAAATGTACTATTTGAAGCACACAAGTATTAAAATAAGAACATTGGGATGTTTTTACCACATTTATTTTGTACTCATAAGTATGAGTCAGTTTCATTGAACCAAATTATGAAACAACATAAAAAAGTGTCTCAATAAAGAGA